TCTTTTTTTTATCTTAATAGAAATGTGACTTTCATTATGTTGCAGAGTCCTTTCCAATTTAACAGTGTATCCATGAAAGCATATTTTTCTCAAACAAACAAATTCTTATCATAAAAAAAAATTCTGTATTTCATTTATTTTAGGGTGTGTATATGTGTGTGAGCATACACATAATTTGGCCCATGTTTTCCTTTAAATTTTTTATTTTATCCTTTAGTATTTATATTTATTTTCATCGGTAAAAGTCTTTAATATGAATATTTTAACTTCTAAATTTGTGTAACTGCATTCTATTTCTTTAATTTTAAAAACTTGACTCCCTCATAGCTCTAATAAATACCTTCTAAAAAAAGCTCTAATAAATATCTTTTGAAGATGCAAACATAATAGTATTTATGCAATTCTATGATACGAACAATAAACGTAACAATATAAAATTTTAAAATTCTCGGGCAATTATATGATTAAAATATTTTCTTTCCATTGTAGTGAAATCATTATTTATAATTGAAATAAAAAACTATAAGAATATTAATATACATAATTAATTTGAGGCAAAAATAGTATAAATTTGATTTGCCGTTAAAAAAATGAAATTGTCAAGAATTAGATAAGAAATATTTTCGATTTGAAGGACTTATTTTCAACAACTAAACTGATGGGAATAAGCAAAAGCTAATTCTAAGGGATAAAACCATAATAAAGTATCAAAACTTGGAGATAATTTCTAGCACTTAATTTTCTCTCTTTTTTATTACTGGGTCATGAATAGTGCTTGTCTTAAGGTGAATTTGTTGTGCGTCTGATATACATACATTTATGTGCATCACAGTTCGTCCAAATAAGCAAAGTAAAATACTTACCAATGGCGTGTAGCGGAGCGAGCCAAACCATGACAGAGTCTAATGTCGGATATGAAGAGATGGTCACATTAACATAGCCTGCCAAATAAAAACAAGAGGACAGCCGGAAAAAAAATAAGAAACAACACAAAATATTAATTATATAATAGTAATGTTAAGGATAGTTGGAGTTGCTTCGGACACCTGCGATAGACGCTGCCCAACTCAATTAGCCCCATAAGTTTCAAAAATCCAGTTATGCTCACTCTCTCTTAATCAATAGAGAAATAATTAAACATTAAGATTTGAACTTAACTCTCTGTTAATTAAAAGGAACTGAGAAAAAAGATGGATAAGAGAAGAGGCATCCTAAAAGAGGAATATTCAGTGTATTATTTGTTTAACAAGAAGAACAAGAAGAACAAGAACTTTTAAAAGAATTAAACAGATCTTTTTAATTCTTACTCTCTTTATCCAATCCATCATTCCCCTTATTAGGAGGGATGGATTAGAAGAATGGTGGATGATTAAGATGAGAGATGTAACTTACCATTCATCTCATGTTGCCTGATAAGTGAGCAAAAGGATGAAAGGATGAAGATCAATAATTCATCCAAATAAAAAATAAAATGAATTGCAAAGGATTTGAAGGTGAAGAGACACTCCATCTAAATCAGAAGGCTTAAAAATAATATCCAATACTTTCTTAGATCCTTATCCTGCTTGCTAAATGAAAGATACATTCAATCTCTCTATCCTAATCATTTCCCTCTCATCCATCATTCCTAATCCGTGAATATTTCACTAGTCTTTGAAAAGAAAAACACAAAAAAAACCTAACTAAGAAGATAAAACATTTAAATAAATCCTCGAGAAATTTCCCATATATTTGCAATCTTTCAATCTTTTAAAGTTCCATAGTTTTATAAAACTACACAATCACCGGCTTTGGTTAGGAGTAAGAAGAACATCGAGAACATGAATATCAAGATTAAAATGTTAGAAAATAAGATAAACTATATCTTAAAAGTTTATCTAACAACTTAAATTATTGGATTGACATGATTTTTTAACATGGTATCAGAACTTTGATGACCAAACGGTCACGAGTTCGAATCTTACAATTCCTATTTATTTGATAAAAATTAGACACAAAATAATATGAATCTGTGAAAGTTTTAAGTCCAAAAAACTTTCACTTAATGAAAGTGTGTTATAAAATAATATAAATTATATCCTGAAATCTTACTTAACAACTAAAATTATTTGGTTGAGATGATTCTCTGATAAGAAAATAGCTTATGCAATACGTAACTAACTAGGAGGAATTTACAAGGACCATATTGGCATGAGGTTTGTAGTATAGATGATGTGGTGGAGAAGTGTAATAAACTAGTGTAGGATAAAAGTGTCGAGAAATATGTGAAGAGATTTGAAGAACTCAAATCTTTCATAATTGTTTTAAATCCATCACTACCAGAAAGTCTTATAACATTTCTAGCTTCGCAAGTGTACTCAAAGATGACATCAAGCCAATGCAAAAGATCCCAAGACCAACAATCTTGACGCAAGCTTTTGATCTAGTTAAATGGCAAGAGGAATTCAATAATACTTGCCAAGAAGAACAGATTCATTCTGAAAATTGTTCCTGACATTGGTATGAGCAGACAACTAACTAATCTAACCATTCTAAAATAGTAGTGTCACATAGTTCAAAGCAACATCTTATTAAGACTTCACATGAGCAGATCCAGGGGAGGCAAAGGCAATGTTTTAGATGTGAAAAGAAGGATGCACTTGAAAATATGGTCCTTCCTGTCTTCCTGACACGACGAAGACTCAGAGAAAAAGTAAAGAAATATGTGGTTCGCATTCGGTCATGATCAATGCTAACAGAAACCTGACGATCAAAACGCACATTTTCCTATCTTTTCTTTTCTTTACTTTAATATTGTCGGGTTGCCGACACATCGAAGACCCTTACTACAATAAGTATGAAGCCGTGAAAATATTATAGATTTATTTTAATTTAGTCCTTACTAATTATTTCTTTTAATTTAGTCCTTACTAATTAAATATTAAGTATAACAAATATGCTAAAATACATAGGAGAATCACTGTGGCTATAGACTCACTCCATTATTCACTGCAATATAGGAGTGATGTCTATAACCTTGGCAAAACAAATTATTTATCTTTGATTTGATTAAAGGGTATTTTGATATTTTCACATGAATTATTTGTTAATATTGATTTGTGTGAGGGTGTTTTTATCTGTATAATATTTTATAAATAACAAAATAACAAATATACCTTCTAAAATAAAAAAAATCAATTGTTTCAAGTAGGGATATTTATGTATTTTTTGTTTTTTATATACAATTGAATTATAAAATGTATATTTAGATCAAGAGAACTTAATGTATTGAGATTGGGTCAGGGGTATTAGAGTCTTTTGGTTCCTTTTTTTTTTTGTTAATTATTGATTTGCATAGGGTAGTGTCATGACTTACCATTAAAATAATATTTTTAATTAGAAAAAATGCATGCACAAGTGGGAGATGCAGCATATTTTAGGTGGCATTTGCAGTGTCTTTTATGGTCAAAAATAGAATATATTTTTTTTGTATAATTTGATTCTCTTGTAGTTTTTTCTTTTATTCTAGATGGCGCGTATAATCTAAATATTCTTGATTTATCGTTGATGATTTTTTTTCCCCTTCATTCTCTTTTCTACTTTGATAAATTCATTATGGTTCTTAGTGTTATTGATATTTCATATTCAATCCATTTAGCTTTATTTTTATATTTTTTTATATTTCTTTTTATTAAAGTTTTATGAGTTTTCAATTTAACCCTTGGTTTCTAATTTGTATATATAATGATTTTTTATTTTGTCCTTTTACTTTTAATTTGTATTTTTTCCTCTTTGTTTTTTTGACAGTTTTTATGGCTTTCAATTTTATCCTTTAAATCTAGTTTATGATTTTATTTTTTTCAATGATAATAATAGTGATTTCATTTTGGTCACTCTTCTTTTAATTTTTAATTTTTTTTCTTGATTTTTTTTGTCAAAGTTTTTATAATTTTTAATTTTTTCATTCAAATCAAGTTCATGATTTTTATTTTTTTAATGATAATGATAATAACAATAATAATAATAATATTTGTCGCATATATGTTGTGTCACGATGATCGTTAACTCCTTTTGGTTTAAGTACCGGGATTGGATTGACAAGAAATTTTTGTAATTTTTTCAGTGAAAAATGAAAATAAGAGTTGTCATCTAATATTTTAGTTACTAAAAATCTTAACTGGTTTTAAAAATTAGATACGGGGATTGGTTGCATAAAGAAAATATATTAATACCCCAAACATGTCATATCTAAGAATTTCTACTTTGTTTTTTTATTAATATAAACAAAAAGTTTCAAGAGAAAAAATTGATTTTTGTTATTATCAAACTGATATTTATATTAAAAAAATAATATTATTTCATATCAATATATATATGTAGAATTTAAAAACACCTCTTTTTACCTCTTTTTAGACCAATGTATCTATAAAATTCAAAAGACAACTATTCATTTAAATTAATTGAACAAGTTGGCAAAAGGTGTGATGCATAATTAATTAATTTCAAAATTTAATTATTTATCTTACATCTGTATCATCGGATTGTTGCATGGTCACTGTCCCTCTGATCAGCATTAGGAAATTACGTGAAGACTTCCCACAAGAGAAGTGGAAGGCCTCTTTATGGCCTCCACTTGCATCATAAACCCTTTCTAGATGTGATGCAGACGAGCCCAAACGGAGAGAAAAAAAAAATAAAAAAGAATTACAGCCAATAAGACAAAATGTAAGAAATGACACATTCCGTCATGATCAACGCTCACGATCAAAAGGTACATTATTTTTTAAAAATTATTTTTTGTTTTTATTTTTTAAAATTATTTTAATATATCAATATCAAAAATAATTTTTTAAAAATAAAAAATATTGTTATTTTAATATATTTCAGATAAAAAATAATTTAAAAATCAACTACCATAACACATTTAAACACTTTAAAAATCTATATAATTGAATTTGTGGTAAACCAACATCAGCACGCGTTGGTCTTAGATTATTAGATAATCTGCCTATAAACAGCCATAAAATGAATATCCAACCATAGCAATAAATATTATCAGACAACAAGCATACATCAGTATTTCACAACCAACAACAGATCCAAACAAATTTACAGAACTTGAATTAAAATGTTTGTGAATCCAACTGACAAACGAAGATAGAAACCAAATCATCTCGATTATGAGAGAGACCTCAGGGCCAATGATCAAGTATCCACCAAAACCATAAGGCTGTCAAGTAAACAAGAAAGAAAATCAGAAACGGGTCATAAGCGAAAGCCAAGGCAGGAACGTGCTTGCTAAAAGAATCAGAAATTTTATTAAGTGAAAGCAGCATCTTTTGCTCAGAGTTTTTCTCTATGAAAACAAAATATAGTTAAATACCTGATGATAATCTTTGACACTTAAGGAGTGTGAGGGGTAGGAGAACTTTCCTGTTGCTCTGTATCATCGGCAGAACCTAAGAGTTCCGTGGTGGTCTCTTACTACGCTGGTAATTAATTTCGATTTCTGAGATGTGAGAAATCTTGTGCCAGTCTTCACCCTTCTCCTCCTCGTAACGTTCTGAAAGAAGGGGGCATTCATTCATCCTCAATTCCACTAGTGGTGCTGTAAGAACATAGTCTGGCAGTGCTTTCAACTTGGGACAGCCCTTGACTTCTAATTCTCGAAGTTGTGGCATTATTGCTGTCCTTGTATCTTTTTCTCCCAAGCCCATTCCAATTCCGTCCCACCCTTCCAACTCTTCCATTTTCCAGATACAGAGTTCTATCAGCTTCGGGAAAGCAGAAACCGGCGCCATTTCTCCGTTTTCTCCTTTCTTTGATATACCTTCACTGCCATTGTTAACAGGTCCTAATCCTAAAAATCCAACATCCAACTTTCTTGTTTTCACACCTATTTTTAGTTTCTCAAGGTAAGGTAATCTTCCGAAAGGAGGCAGAAACTCGAAGCTTCCACAGTGAGAGATATCAAGCCCCCTTAATTTGGTTAACGACATGATCCAGTTCGGTAACAATGTCCCTCTGAATTCAGATAAGCATAAAACTTGCAAGTTTGATGGTGGTTGCAAAGCTTCAATTAAAGCATTCTCGTCAACTCGCAGCTCTGTTTCATCTCCATTGAACAGCAGATATAAACCAATCAGGTACTTCTTCTTTTTGATTTCGGCTTTCACGGCTTCGTTCACATCTCTGACATTTAGCAGTTTCTCTATCCAAAGAGTCCCTCGAAGGTGACTTAAGTTTCCCAATTCACCAAGATTAGCTGCACCACTTTGACCCCCACCTCCACTAACAATGAAATTTGTTAATGTTCGCAGAGAAGTTAATTCCTCTATTCCTCTCGGCAGGAAGGCTACACCTGAACCGAATGTCTCCAAATGCCTCAATCTGATGAGCTTTCTCATCTTTTGAGGTAATTTCTTGACAGAAACACACCAGGTAAGATCTAAGGACTGCAAATTATATAAATCACATATTGTTTCAGGCAGTTCCTTTAACCACTTACAGTAAGAGAAATCGAGGTACCTCAGATGCAACAATTTCCCCACGTCACTTGGAATTTCTTCAATCTGAGATACACTCAAATCAAATAACCTCAAATACGTCAAGTTGCGGAGCAATTCAAGCAGTGGTTTGCTGATTGCGTTATCGTTAAAAGACCTGATCAGGAGGCTGCGGAGTTTTTTTGCGTTGTAGATGGACTGAGGGAATCGTGCCCAATTGGAAACGGTCATGATTGCATGACGAGCTCTTTCATAGAAAGACTCAGTTTTCTGTCTCTTCAGAACATCAGTTTCCACAGTGAAGCATTCATCCTTCATCAAAAACTGGGCGAAATCATGCACTATGTCGTGCATCTTGAACTTTATAGAGTCCTCGTCCGTTTCTTGAAAATCCTGGAAGAAAGCACGTGTGGCTAAGATTTCGAAGTAGCCCTTACCAACCAGCTCCATTTCTTTACTCGGTGATGCCTTGAGGTAACCTTGTGCCATCCACATTTTAATTAATTTCCCTCTCTCCATCACATGATCTTTAGGAAACATGGCACAGTATGTGAAACAGCTTCTTATGGCAACAGGTAAATCATAATAACTCAGAAGCAAAGGGGGAAATATGCCCTTTTCAACCTCCTCTATTTCCCATAGTTCATTAGATAAAATATTGTCCCAGTCTTCTATAGTTGTTTTAGATTGCATGAGACCTCCCAGTGTCTTCGCAGCAAGAGGCAAACCTTTACACCTATATACAATTTGCCTGCCAATCTCAGTGAACATTTCACACGCATCCCGGCTTCTCCCAAGGAACGCTACCTGACTGAATACCGACCAGCACTCCTCGTCCGTCAACTTCCCAAGGAGCAAAGAATAATCAGATTCCATCATCTTTGCTACTGTATCCTTACGAGTAGTCACTAAGATTCGACTTCCCGGGGCTCCAGACTTGAGAGATTCTTTCAGTGGCTCCCATTTTCTAGGATTATCTTCCCACACATCATCAAGTACAAGAAGGAACTTCTTTCCCTCGATAGATTCATAAATTCTTTTACAAAGTGGTTCCAGCTCTACTAAATTTGGAGCCGCCCCGCTAAGATCTTCAATTATGGCCTTCGCAACCGTGTTCTCATCAAAAGGATGTGAGACACACACCCATATTCTCTTCTCAAAATAAGTCTTAATCTCATCAGCATTGTAGGCTAGTTGGGCAAGAGTTGTTTTCCCTAACCCTCCCATTCCCACAATGGAGATGACTTGAACTTCCCTTCCTTCTTGACTGCTGTCGTACAACAATTTGCTGATCACATTTTTCTTCTCATCTTCTCGTCCGTGCACCCTAGATGCATCAACAAAGGAAGTGGTTTGCCGTTCGGGTTCTTTTTCGATTGCCTTATGCAATTCAAAACCAAACACAGCTTTCCTTTTGGCTATATCCTCCAGTTTTTGACCAACTTCTATAATCTTATGGGCGATATCATGACGTCGAGCCACCCGACGGAAACAAAAGCAGGAGAGCAGGAAGGAAGACACCACCGGTTTTGGAGCTAAAGCATTTTCTGCTTCCTCCATTTCCCATTTCAGAACTGCAGTACTCCACTCATCCAACACATCATCCATATCATAAGACACATCTTTGAGGTTGTTCAGCCAATGTTTTACAGCAGCATCCTTCAGCTGTTTTCTCTCTGCGTCTTCAAGGACATCACGGATAGCTTGGAAATTGTTTTTGAGATGTTCAATTTCTTTCTCCACGCCTACAACAAGTTTTACTTCATGTTCTACCTGCAATGTAATTTTTCATCAGAACAAATTCAAAATCATACAATTCTTCAATTATTACTTCTGATTTTTTATTTTTCTTCTTATATCACAGCTTTAGCCCATAGAAACAACAAGAAGTATATATTTACATGACAAATAATTTTTTTTTGGTAAATCTCAACAGTAGTCTCCAAATTATAACTCAAATCTCAATTGAGTTCCTGGAAAATTCTTTTATCTCAATTGGATCCCCAAGATTTCAAAAATAAACAATTGAGTTGTTCGACTCAACTCTTCAAAATTCTTTTATCTCAATTTTTTGAATTAGCATTTCGAGAGATAAGAAGGGTTTAAACATACATATAGGGATAGGGCAACAATTCATTGTTCAAAATACAAATAAAAAGGATATTTAATTTTAGTTTGACAATTTTATAACATAATAGGGTGTATTTATATGGCTCTGATCCTTTCTGCATGTATTGTTTTTTAGATTAGCCTAAACCTTTATATATATCACCACCTATACAGCTTAATTGCTCTTGTAAGCTTTCTATTATAAGCTATACATTATTTTACAGAATTTCCTATGGAGTGATACTTCTATTTTCTTTCATTGTTAATTATATGTTTAATTACAAATTGTCCTTTCGAAGCTTGTTAATTTTTCAATCAATCACATAGAATTTACTTTTTGTCAATTATCTACTTGAAAATTCAAAATTGCTTTCAATTGGAGGAATCCATTAATCATAATGGAAATCAATGAAAAAGAGCTCCCTTTTCACATTACTTATATTAATTTTAAAATCATCAAACACCACTGATGGAAAAATTATGTATAAACTTTTTTAAGAAATAAATTACAATAATCTCAGATTATTATGCATGGTTTGATGAAAGTGAAGTACTCTTTGAAATAATTTATATGGAAATACCTTGATAATAATTAACGAGATTATAAAGAAAAATAAGCAAAGATTTCTGTGTGTTTGTATCAGAACTTACTGTATCCTAACATTAAGAATATAAAAACTTTTGAAATGATAAAAATTTATTTCAAAACTATATTATTTTATATTTTTATCTCTGTTCCCTCTATCAAATACATTTTCATCTCTTTTATCTCAAGGCATTAATCAACACAATTTTAATATGTATTTAATATTGTAATAGTTATTATAATTATAATTTTAAAAAAATTATTTTATAAAAAATACTTTTAATTACACAATGCTCGTAACCTTGATCATTTTCCTTATCTCGCTGAAGAACACCCATATAAATTTAGTAAAAATCTATTTGCGAATTGCTGAAACGATTAAGAATCTTAGACAAAAGACAACACGCATAGTTCTGAAAGCAATAGTTCTTAAATAGAAAAGCTTTGGCAAGCATGAAAGCATAACTAAACGTTTTAGTACCTGAAGACGAGCGGTTGTTATTATCTGCTCCAAGACTGTGGATACAAGTGCACCAGCCATTGTTGATTTCGATATTTGATCGGAGGAAGAGGAAGGACACAGAGATCAAAGCGGGTGTTAATATTGATTGATGGGATTGATGAGGAGCTGAACAAAGGGTTGACTGCCTTTCACAGAACGTCGGCTTTGAGTCTTCGAGGAGAATTCAATGCTTCTGTAACGGCAAGGTAAAAAAAACACGCAAAGCTTATGCCTGTATGAACGTTCTGCTTTGCCATGATAAGTAATAAAAAACTTGAAAGCAAAATTTACTTTGTAAATTTTGTAAAATTATATATGTATCAAGAATCATATAGTAATAAAACACTATAGCATATTAAAAATAAATATAATATATAAAAACAATGGAAATTAAAGGATGAAAAGATAGCACTTTCAATTTGTATAAATTTATATGTAAATTTGCTTATGTCTCATTCTCTTAACAATGCTTTTATTTATAGATATATTTATATAAACACATAAACTTAAACAATTATAAGAAAATATAGATTTAAATATACTTGATGATGATAAATAAATATAATATGAAAGGAATATAGAATAGCATCTAGACATATACAATATATATATATAATTTTATAACAGTAAATCATTATTACTGTAGAAATGAACAATTTATGTAAAGGGGTAAGTACTTGAGCTTAAGAATAAGAAAGGTATGGTTGTGCGCATTAATTGGTAAGGAGCCTTCACTTGAAGTTTCCAAGGCAAAACAAAACAATTGCACTCGGTCGTGGTCAACGCTAACAGAAAGCTTACGATGAAAAGACATCTGGTCCTTCCCGTGTTTTCTTTTCTTCGTTGCCGCGCTGCTGACACGACGAAGACTTCGAGAAATAATTAGGAAAAATGTATATATTTTTTTACATTTTAACCCTTTTTATTTTAATTATTAATTTTTTAATTTAGTTTTTATATCTTTATATTGATACTTAAAATTAAAAATTTATTTTTTACATAATTATTTTAATTTAAAAAACTATTATAATATCAAGTTAATATTAAAAAAATAATTATTTTTTTACTTGAGTGGCTTTGCTTTCCTCGTTATTTCTACTCTGGAATATTGAAATATATTTATGAGCCATTAACTACAATAAATATATTATATAAATAATCTAAACTAAAATATAAATATATTTATTAAAATTTAAGTGAGAGATGGGGATAATAATACTAATAATAATAATAATAAAATTTATTATAATATTATAACTCGTGATTAAAGTTATGGGCATGTGGTAAATATATAAAAAATAAATTAAAAATAATAATTATAAAATTTAATTTTTAATTAATTTAATATTAAAAAATAAAATTATAAAAAAAT